AAATTCAATATGACTTATTATAATTGAATTCCCACTAAAAATTGGGGGAAACGTCCGATTTGGTGGTTTGCTAACAAATCTCAACAGTGTTTGTGGTGTGGGGAGGAGCTCTGGGGTTTGCAAAAAATGGTCTAGGGACTGTAAGAAACATGAAGGCCATGAATTGTGCAGCCGTGTGGTACTGGAGCTCCTCTGGAAAAACAGTGGTTTCAATCTAGATAAGTTTTTCACCATTCCCTGGTTCATTTGAAGAAGAACCACACATGAGGGTTGCTGGGAGCCCACATCTTAAATCCTATGGAAAAAAACTAAAGACCTTGGTAGGTTTATCACATACCCGCAAACAATCCTGATTTAGCCATGTTTGTCCCAATTTTCAAGTCCTGCTACAAAGTCTCTTCCTAATAAATTCTAGAAATCAGCAGCTTTCTGTACTGCTGCCACATTCTAATATCTAAAAAAATATCATCTGCATCATGATAGAAGCGTGAGAGAATTAGTTTAGTGATTGTGCTGCTGTGGCTATTGAAATACGGAGCTCATGGGATATGTTCATGAGATATGCATGTGTGACTCAACCCCGTTCACAAACATGATAACTACCCTGGGATTAGCCTTCATTTCTCTGAGATGTCAGGCCACCCTATTTCCACATCACTGTAGTGATTGCTGGATGTTTTCTTACCAACTGGTAATGGCTGGAGTGGGTGAGACTGCAAAACCAGTGAGTTAAGCTAATAGCTGCTTTATATGTCCTGCACATGCATGATCAGGACACAACTATTTGTCAGTGAATCACAACAAAAACAGCACAGGTAGGACAGGGATTAATAGTGGGGACAGGAAATTTTATGCCAGTTTTGTGCCAACTCAAAGATGGATGGATAGCACTCAGCAAAGGAGATAGGCCCTGTATTTTTCAGTGACCTAGCTTCTGCCTCTATCTACCATGGGGGAGCAGAGAGAGAGCATTGGCTCACAGATCACCACAGTACTTGCTTCTCTGTTGCTGCCATAACAGAGTACTGAACCAAATGATTCCTTCTCTGGTCCCCTTGTCGCCATGATGCTGGGGAATAGGGTGGCTGTCATTTGGTTTAGAGATCAATCTGCTTCAGCTGCAGAATTGCAGACTGCAGCTGCATATTCAAATGGCTTCCATCCTCTATCTCCTCCGAAAGCAGAGGGGGAGCAATTGACCCAGAAATTGCTGTAATTTCTATCTCTGCTTCTACACCCATGGTAGAGCAGCAGGACTCAACTATAGAGAGAGATAGGAAGAGACAGTATGGGTTAGGTCAGGGCATAAGAGAAGCCCCTTGGCCATGATGGAAGACTATGAGGAAGAGTTTAGGTGAGCAATTTTCATGAGCAAAAGAAGAAACTTTGTGAGGATCTGATAGTGTCAGCCCTACTAGAAAATCACTCCACAGGAAAACTAGAACTATACAGTGGTACCTCGGTTCATGAACTTAATTCGTTCCACGATTCTGGTCGCGAGTCAAATTGGTCGCGAACCAAATCAAATTTCCCCATAAGGTTCAATGTAAATAAGGTTAATCCGTTCTGAACCATATGTATTTTTTTTTAAACCATCTTTATTCTTCAAAATAGTCGAAACTGTTGACTTCGCCATCTTGTACTCCGAGGCCAGATCAGTCACACAGATACCACGCTCATGCTTTTCTACAATTTCCTTCTTCAATTCGATGGTTATTTTCTTCAAAACCTTCTTCTTACCATTCTTGCTCTGCACTTTCTTGTCACCTTCATTACTGTTCTGCACATTCTTGTCACCTTCATTACCACTCTGCACTTTTTACCACCATGCTTGCTCTGCACTTTCTTTGGAGCCATGCTGGATGTACTATATGTG